CTCTCTCTCTCTCTCTTTCTTTCTATCGTCGTTCGTCGTGTTTGTACGGCGTCTGAATTTCATCGATATTCGCAAATAAATTTCAAAGGACAGCACGGGAACGTTCCTAATCTGAGTATTCCAAATTTGTCTGCCTTCCGTTGAGTTTTTCTTCTCGAAAGATGAGTAATTTTCACGAATTATACATAAGTATAAAATGCCAGTCGTATTTCAAATTTTGTATTCTTTAGTATTATCTTACCTTTCATATATATATATATAATTTTAAACGGAAAAAAGATATAGAAAAAGGAAAAGGTATAAGGAAAAAAGGAAGTGTGTGCAAAGTGAAAAAAAAAAGAAATAAGTTGGAAAAAGTTTTCGATATAAGCGGAAGGTCCGGGAAGGAAGAACTCTCTTCGGACTCCGCGGAAACGATCTCACGAAATTCTCGAGAGGAACGAGCTGCGGTAGATTTCGAGCGTGGCACCTGTAACAACGATGATTTACACCCAAAGTAAATCATCCAAGATTACACGTGGCTCGAACTTCACTTGTCCCTTTCCTCTCTCTCTCTCTTTCTCTCTTTTCTTTCTTGTTTTTTTTTCTTCTCCACTCACTCCCTTGAAATATTGAAACGCGGGTTTGACGAGCGGGAGAAGGAAAAATAGTACGGAAAATTCCACCCATCCTCCCTTTGAAAAAGATTTCATTTCGAAGGAAGAGATATCTCTCTCTCTCTCTCTCTCTCTCTCTCTCTCTCTCTCTCTCTCTCTTCTTTCTTTTTCCCTTTTTTTTTTTCCCATGCTCCTTCTTTCGTTCTTCCTTTCTTTCATTTTTCTTGTTTTTTCTTTATCATTCTAACGCCAAAAGGGGGAGGATGTCCTTTCCGTCTCCTCGTTTTCCTCTTCTTACGTTCATTAATCTTCTGGGTCCACCATTTGCTTAAGTTCCATGTGCTAACGCGTTGCCTGAGAAATTGCAGATGCATTGTCCCACCGAGGGTGGATCGATCTTATGCAAGAGATAATCGTTTTGATAAATTTGTTCCTTCATCGTGACGTCATCTACACGAGAATACTTTAACATCAACGTAGAAGTAAGAAAATATAAAAGGATATAAAATATGTTTTGTTTAATAATATTCGCGTGGGAAACATTTAGGAATATTCTTTTTTTTTCTTTCATTCATTTAAATGACTACGAATAATTTCATGATAAAAGCAAAGCTAATTTTCTATTTCTTCTTCCTTTTTTTTCCAACTATTTCACGTAATTTTAAGATAAAAGGTTTTTATGCAAAGGTATACGTGAATTACACAACAGGAGCTCTCAACTCATCACATCTTCTCTTTCTCTCCCTTCTCTCTTATCCTTATTGCTTTAATCCGGATTTTAGGTGAATTTGTGCGGTTCTATCTAAGAAAGAACGCATTTTCTTTCCATCTTGTTTCGTTCGTGCACGTACCGCCCTTTTAAACGTCCAATTCGGAAGACACACAGGACGCTGATAGAACACGGCCATCGTCGTCTGAGGATATACGGTAGGAGAAATTAAATTAAATTTAGATTAAGTTCAATTAATTAAGCCGCTTCTCCCGTGGGAACTCCACTTCTGTTCCTATTTACGGTCTCCGAAACTCAACCCCTGTGGTGAAAGGAGTATAGCGGCAGACAGAACGGTAGGTGATCCTTGTCTAACACCAGATACGAAACTAATCTCTAAAACTTGTATTCAAATCTAACCTCCTTCTGGTATTTTCAACGAATAATCAATATTAAACTCATTTCCGTTTTATCTGAATGCATATGCAAATAAATTTTATTGTGAATCAAAAGGGCTCGAAGAAAATTTTCAATTGTCAACCGTTTTAATAATGACAAACGAAATCCTAAAAGCTAGTTCGCAACGATCGTAATAAATAGTGTAGGAGTGAGAGAAATTCCAACGCGAAATATACGATTACGAGAGATAATCCAAAGGAGCTTTCGGATCGTTCTGTCGGTACCGTAGAAAAGAGTTGGTGGTTTTTGTACAATCGATGAGCTTTCATGCTTTCCTGTTTTAGAACGAGCACAGAATACAGGGTGTCTCAGTAACTTTGTTATAAAACGATATCTTCCTTACTTTTAACGATACGAAGAAATACCGAAGTAATAAGATATGTAATTTTAATTAAAAAAAAAAAAAAAACAAAAAACGACTCGATATAATTTTCTTTAAAAGTGACAATAAGAAATAATTTGATTGACATTATAATACATAGACTCATTTCAATCAAACAATTCATTCTTTTGGCATTTAAACGTATCGTTAAAAGTAACGGTGATATCGCTTGGAAAGAAAATTATTGAGACACCCTGTATATATACAGACACACACACACATATATGTAGCTAAGGCCTATACTGTATGCGTAAACTCTGCTATTTAAGCAAGCAATTATGTCGTATACCGTGCGATCGTAATGGAAGATCGTAATATGGCAATGGCGTCTGTGCCATTACCCAACCTTATAAATTTCAGAAAATTGGCCGAGCCGTTAATTCGAGAGTTACCGGCTACGCATAGCCGACAATAATGAGACCGGATAGAGAATGAAAATTTTCGAAAAATAAGGTAACAAAAAATGACTCCCTTTCTACGAGTCTCGGCCTCTTTCGAGGCAGCACGCTCGGGTCCAACTAGTTTACGTTACCTTTACAATTGCAATTTGCATAGGCCGCACACGCATTGGTTCGATCGTTATTTTCGCGAGCACAGCAACCAGCAGCAGCAGCAGCAGCAGTAGCAGTAGCAGCCTTGCACGCGTTGATTGCTTTTCGGGTGCAACCAAGTGCAACCGAGTTTTGCACTAACTTTTCACGATCTACGATTCGATCGAGCTTTTATTGAAATTTCTGAGATATATACAGGTTCTTTTTATTCTTTCCCTTTTAAACGCGTTTAGTGTGTGTTAGAATTTTATCGATATAAAAGGCGTATATAGAACGTAAATAGTATCTGTTATCGGATAGATTTTATATCTAGGTAAATTACACCTAACGAAGTTTCATAATTCGAAAATCGCTTTTAGAAAATTTGAATTCAGGATCTCTCTTTGCTAACTTTCGATACCCGGTTCAATTTTTAATTAATGCTTTGCATCAGAAAACGTTCGAATTTAATTAAAAATAAAATCAATAATTTGAATATATATAATACAATATATACATTACTACATATATATATATATATATATATTACATACGATATATTGTATTAAAAATTTTATCTACTTATCTCTAATTTGCTATACTGTAGATTCAACCTGGAGAATTTAATTTTTTTCCTTTCCTTGGCAAACTTATTAAATTTCGTTTTAAATTATTTATGGAATATATTCTATCAACAACCATTCAAATAATAAGATCTTTCAATTTTACAAAATCAATCTAACAAATATCGTACTATAAAAAATAAAAGTAGTATTTCAGGATAGACATATACAATCTTTTCAACAATAAAATAAAATAAAATACACGTCGAAATGTGATACAAAAGCGGTGTTATTTATTTAAACACACAAGACAATCTGTCTCGTATATTCATATAATGTTTATACTTCGTTACTGTTTCCAGAAATATAATATGTTTAATATCATTGACTCGAAAACGTATATGAAATTATTTAGTAAAAATTCTACTTCATAATTTATTATGGCAGGAATTTATTATCGTAAAAATCGAAATACACCGTCTACGCAAAAGAGTCAAAATATGAGCGCGTTTAGATGGCTCCGAAGAGAAGAGTGAGAAGAAAAGAGTTAAGGGTAAAGAACTTATAGGGGACTCTACTCGGGAAACCTCAAGGGTCGCGATAAATGCACGTTCACGTTAATAAAGTCTTATCGGTTGTAAACCATGCGTGTCGACTTAAACCACTGACACACTAATCCGCTATACTAATTTTAAAGTGTGAAAATGATAGAGCCCTGTATAGTCCGTCGGCGCCCTTCTTCTTTAATTGCTATACAAGTGAATAGATCGCACATGTGCTTAAATAAAAAGCTATCACTTAATAATCATAATATAATGTGTTGCTTGCCTGTTTCTTCCTCATATATAATATGTATCTAAATGGGAGGTAAAGCCAAAGAGGGAGGGGGTTATTGTAGTTGTAACAAAATAAGTCGAAAAAGAAGAGTAACATTTTTTCATTTGAGATCTCATTTTTGAAAAAATCGTATTTAAAAATTCGAAATTTTTAAATTTGCTATTACAAGAATTATTATAGTCGTGGAAGGAATCGCACTTAATTAATCTCAAAATGAATCTTTTGTATCACTTTTTGTTTAATAACAATAATTTGAAATTCATTGCTGATAATAATTAGCTGCTGGTAAAATAAATAAGTCGCATGGCTGCAGAAAAAAAAAACGTAAAAATTACAGAAGAACAAAGAATACAAAAGTGTAAACAAAAAAAAATGTTTTTAGATAATAAGTTATTCAAGAAATAATTCAGTGTACGCGTACACCAAAGAATTTTCAAACGATGTTATTCCTTTTTCGTATTAATTTTTTTAAATGTTAAATCACCCCTTTTCCCCTTCAACAGAATACACCCTGTATATCTAAATATTTTCAAATATTTTTCCAATTAGAATCGCACGTGTGAGAATATTTTTATTCAGATATATTATATATAATCGTTAACTTGTCTATCTTTATTAGCCTAATATTTGTTGAAAAAATATTTACTACCATTCGTATGAATTATTTTACACGATAAAAGAAAAATCATCGTAGATTATTATTAAATCATACGACGGCGAGAATATATTGTTAATTATATTCGATTCTTTTTTAAAGACTTACTATCGGTGCAAGCTTACTTTTCTACATTTACATTTTTGTATAGCTTAAATAAAAGAACAAAACTAATGCATGAAATAACATTGCCCATTGTATAATAATAAGACAAAATAAAGTAAAAAAGAAATAGAAAGAGAGAGAGAGAGAAACATTTCAAAAGTTACAAGTACCATTAAGAAAATATAAAATTGTTTTATAAGAGATTCATTCCTATCTTTTTAAGATAAATAAGATGGAAAAGCTTGATTTTGTAAGTTCTAATCGATATACATATATATATATATATATATATACATATATGCGTAAGCGTGTGCAAAATATATTCATCCATTTATTATCTCACGCAAGAAACTTTTAATATCCTTTGTTTCATTCATTCGATCATTTTAATTAACACCGAGGATCTTTTACTCCAGCTTCTTCTCCGTATAAGACTTTTTGTAAAAGCCGCAAAACATATAAAATATTACGATCACTTGAAACGCATACAAGCATGCCAAATATTTCCTGTTTGGATCGCACGAGGGCATGAATGCTTGAGCTGTGTGTATCAGCATAACGGTGAATTGTATCTGTAATAATACAAACGCTAGTTCAGAATATAACAAAAACAATAAAATATATAATATGAATTTTTTAATTTTTATTTAGTTTTTTTTTGAAAACTATCTTATATATTATTATATTAAAAATATTCATGAAATTCGATAAAAGAAAAATCATAAGTAGATATAAAGAAAGAAGTATAACTTCAATAAAAAAAAGAAAGTGAAATATATAAGACATTCTTTTTGAAAATAGGAAGAAAGATTAATGCGAGTAAAGTGCCCTCCTTATCGTCAACGATTTCTACTTCGAAGAAAATGCACGTTGCAACGCGTAAGTATCAGGACAAAGTGCAATATATGCATCTTCCAGTCGAATTTTTCCCAAGAAAAGCGTAGTAGCTTTTTCGTAAACTTCGAATCCGATACAAACGAAAAAAAAAAAGATGAAAAGAAAGAGCTGGACTAAAAGGAAGAAAAGAAATGGAAAAGAGTTGAGTACAAAAAATCGTAAAACCGAAAAATTGAATATCGTATTTCTTTAAACGAAAATACTAAGCACAAAACAATCTGTTTTTCCGTTTATGAAATCGCTTCATTTTAGAAAAAAAAAGAAAACTAATAAGAACAAGAAAAAGAACAAAATATTACATAAATTCATACCATTTGTAGTTTCGTGATATATTTTTTCGCCGGATTGATCCTCTCTTTTACTTCTGGTCCGCAAGCAGCCAATAGATAATAAGTGTACATGATTACGTGGACCATACAATTTGGAATAATTATAAAAGTCCACATACCAGCTGAAAAATAAAATAATGACTTGTTTGTGTAATTTTGTCATATTGTTAAAAGAGGTATAACAGAGGTTTTTGTTAAAATTTGTAATAAACAGATTATATAAAAAAATGTAATGATCGATCGTTAACATATTCGATTAGAACAATATAATGTTCGATAAAAATATCATTTTCTAAATAGATAAATCTTTAAATAAAATATATAAAATATGTTGACTTGAAATGAAATAAGTATATTATTACACCACATACCTGGAACGTATTTACAAGTAACCCATGCCATAAAAACCGTTGTAGCATGATGATAAACGTGAAGAAAAGATGTCTGATTGAATTTCTTTCGAAGGACAAAAATAATTGTGTCACTTAATTCGACTACTTTCATTATGAAGACCCACCAGACCCAACCAGCCATCTACGAATCAATAAAGTATAATATTAATAATCGATAATTCGTCATGGAAAAATTTATCTCTACTTTGCAATTAATTGATCGTTGTATTAATATTTGACTGTCACTAAGATATCTGAAATGTATTCTGAATTCATATATATAATTAAATATTTATATTCTTCTGCCATTCAATCACGATACTATTATTATTGCTATTTATATAATATTTACCCTAAGAGGTTCGGGTTCATAAGAAATACGATAAGGTTCACATCCAAGGGAAAGATTCGTCGTGTAACCCGACGTGAGAATCTATAAAAAAAATTAATATTTTAATATACAAGGAACAGCAAAATAACTGTATTCACATTGAATATTACTTTGTAGATGTGATAAATAAACGTAATAAAACAAATTGTTTCAGCCACAAATAATTATAGACATTTGCGAGATAGTACAATATATCTAACTGTTGACTCATTTTTAATGCATATTTAAATACCGGAAATCGCAAAGCAATAAAAAAAAATACATCATTTCATTCAGCAAAATTAAGATGACCTTGAAATATCTGCTGTATTTTGCTAAAAAAATAGGCGACACAATATGCCCGCTACCCTCTATGCTACGCCATGCAAGTTTTCTATCAAACATTTTTCGTATTATTACAAATTACAGAGATTTTTAAGATGGACAGAGTAATTATCTTTAGATGTTAATATATATATTATTTCAAGAATAAATGATCAGAATGACATGGTCATGCAGATCATTTGTATTCGTTTTTTATACTTTACAAGAATATTGCAAGATAAAATATATATAGTTCCACTTAAAAAAACATCGATAATCTTGAAATCTCTGTAAAAAATACCAATCTTTTCAAACGTATAAAATAATCCAAAAATTCTCAATATACATTTGATTGTGATGAAATTAATATTATTATTCTTATATTATAATCTTAAATAAAAAATCTAACTTTGCTTACTCCGTAACATGTGACTCCACTTGCAATTGCTAACAGACTATTATACAGAATCAAAAAGTTGTTCAGTTTGTAAGGTTTCCGATTTTTCATATAACGAGGTCCGATATGAAGAACAAACTCTAGATAAGCAAGCAAGATCAATGTCACAGCGAAGGGATCTTTCATTAGAGGAAAATTCGCCACTCTGGGATCTAAAATAAACATTTGCTATCATTAAACATGAATCGAGAAATCTTAATAAGATATTAAACAGTCCAGAACATTACTTAATATTTTACATTTATATACATTTAAAACAATGTTTGATCTGAAATTGAGATAATACAACAATACGTAAATAAAGAACAGATTCGTAAAAAAATAGAACTTTAAATTTTAGATTTATGAGATAAAATATCATATAATTAATCATAAAATTTATATTTGCATTATAATTATTTATTTATTTACTCTGTTCTCGATCAACACTTATTCGATTTTTATTTTATTTTTAATATCTCATTTGTACATACTTAATGTACGTACTACATTTAAAATAATATTTAAATAAAGATATTTTATATTGATTTATTTTATAAAAATAACTTCAAAGTGCAAAAATTTGTAATATTTAATATTTTTCGAATATGTTACATTAGTTAAATTATAATGAAAAAAAAAATACAATTAAAAACAAATGTATTGCTTATACCATCGAGTACCAATTGTAATAAAAAGTTTAGACCACCGATTTCGGATCATTCTATAGAAATGAAAAATATTTCAAACTAGAGGTACACTATTATCGGACAAAGGAATTCCACATAGAAGAAAAATATTTAATGTGTTCGTTCACCTGCAATTTCCTCGAAGAGATAATGATAGGCCTTCGCGATGTCCATGTTCTATCACCCAGGTAAGCCAGGAAGTAAGAAGAACAAAATCCGGTGTATCCAGAGAACCAAAGAATAACAACAGTAAAAACATCAACAACAACCGAGTAACCGTTGTTTGATTGTTCACGAATGTAAATAAAGAAAAAACGAGTAGATCAGTTAAAGAAGCAGGATACTGGTGCAACGGCGATGGTTGTCGATGGTAGCCAAGGAGAGAATGACAGAATAACGAGTTAGCGTATACAGATAATACATTGCAAAGTCATGTATTCAGTGGGAACCGAAATGGGAGGGGAAAAGGAACGCCACAAAACTTTCCTACTTTATTAAATCGATTTCAATAAATAATTTTAATCACACACAAAGAGAAGATCTTGATGTAAGAAAAGAGAAAAATTATTCTACCTTTTTAATAATTTTAAATTTTAATTATAAAAACTGTTCATCGATTTTTGAATATTAAAAGGAAAGAAAAATATATTTAAAAACGAAAAAAAAAAGGAAAACAATCTAAAAGAAAAGGCTCGATGTAATTTATGATTTTGAAACGGTTATTTCCTACGTAAATCTTTCCCCGTATATCAACCGAGCCGGACAAAGGCAATAAATGGAACGTAATTATACCACGTGTAATGTATAAAGTTTCTATTCACTTAAAAGAGTCGTATGTTAACTGTTTTATTTAAAGTTTTGTTTTTTTTATGAATCTTTACAAAAATTAAAAGAAAATATGTTTGCCCGAATAATTATTATATTTCCAATTAGAGTAATAAGACCGAGAAAGTCGAAGCATGTATATTGACAATGATAACTAACATTATTAAGATTTGTTTAACGAAAATTCACGAAAAGAATTATCCTTTAAATATAAAGTTTTTAAGTGAAATATTGTTATCAAAATTACTTCTATATATTACACTACATGTTCGAGAAGAAATGCTTATATTTTATTGATGAAATTTTTCGTGATAGATACATATAATCTATATATATATTTATAGCTATTTATATTATTATATATTATAGCTATTTATAGCTATATATATTATTATTCAATAGCTACATATATTCGATTTTTGGAAATAACTGAAATAATAGAAATCCACATAATGTTGTCACGTGAATTTACAATATAACGTAATATAAAGGATTAAAAGATTCGAAATGTTACGAGACATTTTGATTATATCTTCTGACGTAACTAGGTAATATGTTCAATTCGTTATGTAATATGCTCCTTAAAATTCATTTTATAGAATAACTATTGCCATTAGTTATGAATTCATGTGGTTAACAACCACATTACATTTAGTTATATTCAAGAAAAATGCAAAGATGATTACATTTAGACACACGACTAACAATAAATTTCATTATAGTTATAATAACATATTTTTAACGCGAATGCATAAGAAAAACAAAAAGTTTACTTAGTTATGTATCCTTACTTACAGTTATGTATCTAGATACAAAAAAAAACGAAAATGTAATAAAATGTTAACTGTAATTTAATAACGATTAACGATTCTAATCTTCTACCATTCATCGACCATTTCAGCGAAGACTATAACGATTCAGAGATATTCATAGCTACTATTACAGAAGTAGTACCTCTCAAAAGCGAGATAGTATTCATTTACGATGGTCAGAGAATATTATGAAATTTATGTTCTTCAATTTCTTATTCCATAATTAGTTTGTAAAATATTTAATTAAATAGATGTGTTTGTAAACGATTTTCAAATTTCATTTATATACGTATAATAATTATGTGTAATACATTACGTAATACATATGTATTACATAGTAAAAACAATTATCCCAATTCCATAAAAACAAAAAAATAAAACTGTCTTTAAATACATTTAAATATCTGCAAGTAAAAATATTCCCTTATGTTGAATATAATCTATGAATAAGAATAGACAATAAAGTTGCATGTACAGTTACTAATTACGATGGAAGAAGCATCTTACAAAATAGATAGAATGAATTAATAGCGTAAAATTATTGAAGATATTTGAGGAATAATAAAAACAATATATTACGAGAAACGTATATCATCGCTATTTTATTCATGACAATGTTTTATCCCAAAATTCGTCATTTAAAATGGTGTCCTTAAATCAATGTTAATATCTCGAATTAACGCGCATATTAAATCTATTTATAATTATTTCAGAACGATTAGATTCGAGGTTGCGTCTGTTTTAGTTAACTGCAATCGATCGATGCCGTCCAATCTTAGTACACTGGGTTTTTAAATTCATCGGAAATTCCCGTATAAAGGTAAAGATTATTGATGATGTTATCAAAGCTAATGAAATTTGATCTCAAAACAAAATTCGAATGAAGAGATCATCGTTAGATGATCTAGAAAGTCGACGATGTGCGCAGGTTTACAGGATAGAGGTAAACCAAAAGAAAAAATATACTTAAGTGACGCACCTGCGATCCGCAAGCCGGGAAACTTTCCGCATCTTGCGTTTCGAGTCTGTAAATATCCGATGACATTTAAACTATTATACGAAATATTTGACTTTCTATTCACGTATGCCGACGTTATCGTCGTCTTTCAGGGCACTAGACTACTGTCCAACTTACGTTCATCTATAGGGCAAGCACCCCTAGTAGAGGCTTATGTTCAGGAGCGTAACAAACTGGTGCGATGCCATGCGATATACACGACTTCCAAATGATTTTAATTCAGATGTTTCTTTCTCTTTTTATCGCTACTTTATTTCATGATTATTATTTTAATATAGGTTTTTGATTCGATATTCGATAAGGTATCCATTTTATTCTATTCTATTTTGATCGTTTTTAAAATTCGATCAAACGAATAACCGAACCGAAAATTACGGATATAATTACACATTTATTTATTCTTTATAAATTTCGACCAAGATAATCAGTTTCATTTATAAATTTATATTCTATGTTAAATAAATATTATTAATCTTTGTAAATATGACTTATAATAATATTTGCTAATTCTTGTTATTCATAAATTAACTTTATTCTATTATAAATGTATAATTCAAGTTAAGAGTAATACAACAAGATAAATAATTTAATTCGAACATCTGTTTTAACGCAAATCATAAGGGTTACTTATAATTGGCCATTGTGTCAAGGCTGTTTATATACAATTAATCTCCAAATGAGATCAACGTATTCCATTTCATCTTCGTTAAATGATCACGTAATTCCCATTCTAGAAATAATGCTTTTAATCTTTAACATCGATAATTATCGAATTATTCACGTGCATTTTCATCAATTTAAAAATAATTAGCAATCTACCGTCTGTGACAATCGAAAAAAGACTCGACTTTCGAATATTTCATTTGTCCAAATAATCCTAATATCGTTTTAATTAAAAAGACAACTATTTCATAATAAGCAATTATGCATAAATTATATTCTCCTAAAGAATCAAATAAATACTATTTGAGATAATAACACTTTCATGAATTTTACATGCAATAAGAACAAATTCATATTATTACTATACATATATTTATTAATATAATAAAAAAAAAAAAATATTAGAAATTCGGGTAGTACGTTTGTCCGAAAAAGGAGGTCGCAAATATATATATAATTAGTGCATCACTGCATTAATAAATCGTGCCAATAACAAAAATGAAGTAATCAGTAAAGTAATATTATGAAATTCGTTTAAAATGGAACTCATCAAAGTCTATCGAAATGAATAATTGATCCAAAAGAATTCTTCCGTTTCTTATAAATTAAGTCGATTCGCGAAGTTCACTGCAATCATGAAAAATAGGTCTTGCGAATTGATTGTTTCGAAGCAAGTTATATTGCAATAGAAAAAATTATTTTAAACAAAAATAAAACGAAAAAGAAAAAAAATATGAGAAAATGTTACTTATTATTGGTACAATCTCCTTCTACGAGCACTCAGAGACCTACCATGATGTTGTACAGTCATGGAAAATCAGTACAGGCAAAGTAGTATAAATATATGGCTTCCCTGTGTGCTGTCAGTCGTATCAGGATTAGTCGGTTCGTTCGCATACGATGTGGGGTCTCTAGGGCTGTAGGACAAACGCAATCACGAAATGACCTCCTACCTTGATATCACGGATATAATGTATGTCTCATTAGCAGGACGTCTAACACTGATTCAGAATTCGATCGAAGTCCATATATATAAGTAATAGAGTTTTGTCCTTGAAATTCTGACAATTCAGAAATTGTCTATCAAGATAACTTAAGAAAGTGTTTAATATTTTGTTAATCTAGTGTATACTAGAAGCAGCAAGTGCATACAATAAAGAAAAAAATCCAAAAAAAGCTAATTATAAAATATCTAAATATATATAACCTCATATTGGAATTCATAAGGACTCCCCAAGATTTTCGAGTTCTTCTAATACATAGTTAACATCTTGCATATCTGTTCCAGAATTTTGTACTACGAATCGAAAGAAATTTGGTTTCTCGCGTAATGGTTGATAGTTGATCATTAAACTACCTCTTTTTGTCATTTTCCCCTTCAACTTAGGAGCTACCTAAAAAAACAGAAATTTTATAAATAATATTTTTCATTTCACTATAATTTTAATTAGATTTTTAATTTATAGATTTTTAGTATAAATATATATATATATATATATATATATATTTATTAATCGATAAGTAATGGTATCTACTTAACCGACAGTTAACTTACGAATAAGTTTCCTTATTGACGTTTGAAGGTAACCAAATAAGAAATATTTATTGCAGATCATATACCGATTAAATCAATTATCCGTATGTTATATAGCAAAAGACTTGTTTTTCTTATATGTAAGTTATGATACCAAACATTTTTAAATACAAAAAACAACATATCAAATAGTATCATAATAAGACAAGAAAGTAATTTCTAAATTTTACATTTTTTAAATACACTTGGTATGTGCAATTAATAATCAATAAATGTCTTAATTATAACAAATAAACTTTACTCAAAAAGAATTCAAAGTGACTAATATCTAAATTTCATTATAATGAAACAAGTTGTTAACTGTTACCTTATTCAACTCTTTCTCATAATTGTATATAGAATACTTGTCTTTCAAGTGCAAAGGAATGAACCAAAAACACACATTAATAAAACATGGCTGTGTCACTAGCTCAAAGTTTTCTTTTTTCTCAATTTCTTCTTTAAAGTAAGCTGACAGTGACATTAGATGATCAATATGTCTTTCAAAGCCCGATGATCCCTATAAAAAAAATTATATTAGTAAAATAGACAAATAATAAAAATACATCAATATAACTAAATCCAAATATATGATATAAAAAAAGAAGTACAAAATCATACGTTGTGTCTTCATACACTTATTCAATAGAACATGCATGACATTTAATCCTATAATTTTTCGAGTCCTAAATTCACTTTTTTATTTAGCTGTTAATTAAATGAGGAAAAAAAAAGATTTTAATAATTTAAATTATTTACATAAATTAAATACATTCTATAATATAAAATTAGATCACTTTTAAAAGAAAATCAAAGAAAGCATTAAAATAACTATTCCAGACATTTAACTATGGGAATTGTATATGTATATACATATACATATACATATATATATATATATTATAGTATAATATATATTTTGAGAAAACAATGCATTACTTTGTAATTATCATTAAGTTAAATGGGCAAAGTTGTTCACCAGTTTAATAGATTCTTAGCAGCTTTCATACAAAGCATTCTAAAACTTATCGGACCAAAGTCAGCTATCGGCTAAACTTTTGAAAAATTCAGATACTTCTTTCGGAATCTTAAAAAGGCACTGAATGAATAAGGTATAGACAATTCTGAATCCCTACAGGGGAGATTAATATATGCATAAGTACACCAGCAAACACTCTATACAGAGCATGCAAGCCTTTTACTTCAACGGAGTGTGCCTCAACCAGAACGGCTTAAATGTCAAAGTACAAGATCTACGCTTAACAGAAGGCAGGGGAAAAAAGTGCTACGAAGGCTAGTTTTCTACATATTTGCATAAGTGGTTGCATTCAAAATCTAATACAGGGAAAGAGAGAAGCACTTCTTTGGTATGCGTAAGTCTTAGCTTCGCATCAACAAAGATACTTCAAATATACCTCAAATATGATTCACATAATATGCATTTGTGACACTACTAAAAGCATTTAAAATATATTTTATAAAAAAAGGTTCCATGGAAATGCATAAAACAAAATATTTAATTACCTTAGCCTGCCACATAAACCAAAACTTCAAAACATCTGCTCTGCGTCCGCATTGTAGATACTTGTCCCCAGGGTCTAACTCAGCAGAGTAAAATTTATCCTTTTGAAACAAATAAGTAGCTCCCTTAGAATGTGCTTTAGTCAGAATATCATTATGCTTTGTTAAAAGTAAGGAACACTGCTGTGGAACAGCAAGTAACTTGTGAGGATTAAATAAAATAGAATCAGCTCTTTCTATTCCTCTTAAAAGACCACTGTGTTTTTTACTGAATATTAAGCCACCACCCCAAGCTGCATCAACGTGTAACCACATTTTTAAATCCTGACAAATATCTGCTATTTCGATCAATGGATCGAAAGCTCCTAACACCGTCGTTCCTAAAATTTCGAAAATTTAGTGGATGATAGTATACAGTTACTACATTATTTTATTTTTATTGTACAAGAATAATTACCAGCAGTGGCGAAGACCATAAACAAAGAACTGCCTTGTTCTTGTTCTTGTCGAATAGAAGTCTTCAAATCATCTACGCTCATTCGACCTAAATCATCCGTTTTCACAAAAACGACATTTACATTGCAAAGGTTTGCCCATTTTGATACTGAATAGTGAGCATCTTCCGACGCAAAGAAAACTGGCTTTGCCATCAAATCCTTATAAAAAATTATTATTTTTATATATTACTATATACATATTTCTTTTATACAATAGATGACATCAAAATGATTACCTTGTTTTCACGTCTAAAAGAAAATCGTCCCAAATTAATAGCCGTTCCATTCGCAAAAGATCCACCTGGACAAAACAATCCATCACCCAATTCAGATCCATTATCATTTTTATAAAACATAGACAATAATTTTTTAATCAAGGTTTTCTCCATCAAAGTTAGTACAGGTGCTACTTCGTACGTATATACTGAAGCATTTAGGACATCAGTCAACCATTGTCCTGCCAAGCCATAAGGATCTAATCTACGCAAATAAATATAAAATAATTAATAATCATTTGTGTGTGTGTGTTTCATAGTTATAATATTAGAATCGTAATTAAAACTTACCCAGAAAAGAGTTGATTCATAAAATATGGATGGCCAGTTTTAACACTATATTTCAAGATTTTATTTGCTACCAATAAGAGATCCTTTTGTGATTTTGGTTCTTCTAATAAATCAAAGTTTAAAATTTCTTGCAAATAATTTGCATCTCTCCATCTTGAAACAGGATTATTTCGAGATACGCTTTCGAACGCAAAATCAATTAAAATAGAACTGAATTTCTCAAGAAATTCTCTATGCTTATTTTCAGAAGGTATACTTCGCCAATCAGACATGAATGATTATTTGTTGGCTATCTCGAAAAAAATGAAAAATTATGTCGTACACAAGACCTTATAAACGTTGATAACCGAACAGCGCAAAATACACTGATTCATTTTTAACCAACCTCTGATATATATAAACTAACTACAAGGTCTTCATAAAGTTCCACAATTACACTTAACAAGGAAACAATGCAACAGCTCTATACAATACTAAATCATTCAATGTCCCCAACATAATTAATTTGTACGGAAAATACAAAGTCTTTTAAATATGACTTTTTAATATAACTACACAATTTGATAATTACCAAAACAATAAATCATTGCCATGAATACTTGAAATATAAGTATACATTTATTTTAAAAAATACATTTTATAAAGACTTGGGATTTTTAAGATATATGTATATCTTGGAAGACCTAATTGAAAGTATAAGAGCTAATTTGTACAATTTGGTAACACATATACTATCTTAATCCTTGTAAGTCTCTGATACCTATTAAAATTAATTTTATATGGGCATTAGTTTTTGCAATTTGTTTCCTAATATGAGTTATTTGTTTTTCAAAAAGTTTTATTCTAACATTGATTATAACTAAAGCTTCCTCTAAACTAAATTCAACATAGTGCCCCAAGCCAACATCTAGTAGAATATTTGAAGCATCTTCAACATGAGCTTCAACATAAAAATTGTTTCCAATATCTACTTGAGTTTTAAAACCACTTTTATTAAAACCATTGGATTGTAAGGTAGTAATAATAGTCTTTAGCTGAAGAAATTCAGCAATATCTGTATTTTTACTATTAAGTTTTTCTTCTAATTTAGCAAGATCAGTCTTTAGCACGTCATTTATAAAAGCTTCAAATTGTAGAATTTTCTTCTGTATATCTGGATTCATAGTTACTGAAATTAAATTATAAAGAATAAACAACAATCAAAATAGTACTGCATGCATTGCAACAAAATAATATCTACAATTAAGCATAGATAATTATTAATGATAAATATGTTGATAAAATGAAAAACATCTATAATGTATTCTTAGGTTATAAATAAAATATGCTATTATATTTACCAGTTAATAATTTTATAATTTATGTTAACAAATATATTACTTACTTGCTTAGAGGTTAGAAAACACTTCACGGATATTTTATACTTGTTTTTAACAATGTAACGGATAATTGTAAACGAGATTCACAACAAGAAATATATTCCTAAATTCTAATATTTTCTGTATATTATATTTGTCACGTTAATTGCATAATAAAAAGAACATTAACATTTTTAAATTAAACTCGTCTGTATTAAATGTTATTAGATATTCACCGCGATCGAAGTTACACCTAGCGAAAATAATACGTAACTTGTATCTGTGAATGCAGTCGATAAAAAAGATCTCTCACATTAATGATAAACAAACTAGAGATCACTTCAACTTTTCGTATTCATTTATATAAATATTTTAATTAAATAAAAAAAGATATAAAATATATAACAATAACACATATATATTTTATTGCATATTTTTAGACAATATTAAATTTTTCACTTTTATATTATTCACTTTTTAAATTTATCTTAACGTTTTATCCTATAATTATTTTTTCTTATAAGTTTCGTCTCAGATAATCAACCAACTTTTATCAAATGGTGTTTCAATTTTAACAGCAATTGTTAAATAAAATTGTTTCTTACGAATTTTTTTAATTAAACAAGTATCATATCGGAAATAACTCAAAAGTTATAGAAAAAATACTATAATTAATGGTGACTTCATAGTGCAAAGGATTAATAACGAAGTAAATAATTTAACAAAAAAATTAAGTATATCATTTTTGATCTTACATTAGTATAGTAAATCAAATTATTCGAATTTTATTCTTAAAAAGAAAACATATACTTACGTAAATATATCTGGTTTTATTATAACTCTGTAAATGATAGATCACATTGCAAACAAGTATCCTTGGTGCAATGTTCTTGCTATTTTATATTCAGTACTTTCCTTTGCTTAACAGAGTATATAATATTACCGTTAAACTCGTTCGATATTGAAAGATAATTTAGGTATATGCATTTGCAATCTATTTTAAATATTCATATTTAGTATTATTCATTTGATATAAAAATTCTAAAAAGATTATAATTTTTTTTTTCAAAAGTATATTTATTAAACTTGTTTCTACTGTTGCAGAATATAAAAAAGTCCATTTTGTAGAAAGGATAAATTTTTGTATAGAAAAAAACACGAAAACATGTACCAGTTTGACAAGTAAAATTCTGCCGATTTGCTCGATGCAATTAATTAAATCACTGACGCCCACCAAGGAGTTAGCTTGTTATCTGGCGTGTTACACTTATCCGTAATGATACCTTCATAGAATATGTAGATATTTTGCGATGTACTCGGTAACCTCGGGCTTTGGTCGATCAATGAAAGATACCGGATTGTATGACCACGCTAATTTGAAGCAGCCGAGGGCTTGTAAATAACACCTTATTATATTTGGTTCTTTTATTTTATCTACACATTACACGATATAACAATAAATGCATCGAACTTTGTATAAACTGTATCTTTTATTTTTTTTTTCTCTTCAATGTATAATTTATATAACATTGTATAAATTTGCAAATTGATTACCATTTGTTAATTGAACGTAAAAACTAAAGTATCACAATATACAACTACATAATAGAAATTATTTACTGACAATGAGTAATTTCTGCAAATCATCTCGTTGGAATAATTACAAAACTTTTTACGACTTGACTAGCAATATGATTGATTTGATATGAATCGAAGAGAATGATTGATACAAGTTCTTCTGTAATGATTGGAATAAACACACATTGTAGTGTAAATCGTTGATGTAACCGTAGTGACTCGTGTGATGTTTATTCTTAAAGTATTTGCAAGTAAATAACTTACGTACATTTTATCCATAATTAAATAGATACATTTTAACGTTATCGTACTTTTAATTCACATGTATGTAACCATAATTAGATTGCTTATCGGACTGTAAAATTCATTCCGGAATAGCGAATGTGTAAATAATTGTCATGCAGAAACTACATGAAATAAGAATCTATTAATTAGAGAATAATTAAAATTACGCTCTTAGAGCATGACCATCAATCTTTCGCTGAATTTCTTGTAATTTTATACAATAAAAAAATAATTTTCATAAAAATTATATCATATATATATATATATATACATAGTACTTGCCTGTCGAGATGTTCGTGTACATAGTAATAAAAGGTGGTTCATATATTATCATGATGGTTGTGAAAAGTGGTTGCGTGCAGATGATGGCACAAGAAAATAAGTTCGAATACAATACATGCGATGAGAGCCTTAATCCGTAGTGTTTCCAGTGAAGTCGCATCGCGGTTAATACTTACAAAAACTTTTTCTCCTAATATCGGAAACCCCTAGATATTTTCTTTTTAAATTGTGTTACTATCTTCATCCACCGACGAGATATTAAATTACTATTATTACTATTATTGTAAATTTCCCGAAGAACTGTAAATTTCAGCTGTAACGTGAATATGTAAAGACAAAATGTTAATAAGATTATTTGCTATTAGATATTTTATAAAAAATCAAATATATGTTGAAATTTACGAGATGAGATATATTTTAATCAGTTGTAAAATGTTATGAGAAATCTTCATGCAAATTGGCTTTATTTACATTTAACGAATAGTAATAATATAGAGATGGGTGTAAAAATTGAAAAATTAAATAAATTCCGCAACAATGTTAATTATTATAGATAACAAAAAAAAATAAGAAGAACTGTTATCTATGCTAACCTTAATTTTTATAATTATTAGTTAAAAGATACATTTAAAGAGTCCACATTAAGCACGCTTGATACTATCAACATTTATTTGTACGCTATATAATATGTATAACAATTAAAAAAAATTGATCTTTGAAGAACGATCAATACATGCCTCGTGATTCTATTTCTTTTTTCCATATTTATTTTTAGTCACATAAGTATATACTTATTTCAACATCTTTCGTATAATATTTTCTTTACCTCGTGGCATGGATGATCTATCTCTGAAGATTGTTGAATAAATAACTACAACGGACAAGAATTTAAGTACGAATACAGGTAGGTAAGATCGTATTAATTAGAAGTGCACGGATCGTACTTCTTTTCATTGAAATTACCATATTCTTTTCCGATTGGTTACAAGCTATAAAAAACAGAAACGGATACGGTTGTTTTACGATGTACAAAGTCCTTCCCTGGCACAACATTCATTAGCATTTCTTTCATGTTCGATGCTCGTGCCGTGCTATACTTCGCTTATACATATATGTATACTACACACATTTCAGTGAAGAAATGAAAAACTTACCGAGCTGTATTATTATATGCCAAGGTTTTCCAACGTATGGATCGCGACCCCATACGGGGTCGTATCACTAAATAAGGAAGTCCTAAAATTTTTAGCAATACTAACAAATTTCTGGATGCGCAACGAATTCATTCAAAACTAGTTTGACAATATTACACTAATAGTATGTCTATGAATTTAAAATAATAAAAGTGAAAATAATATAAAATTTATATCTTAGGGTCGCTCAAATAAAAAATGATTGCTAAGTGAACAAATTTGAGAGACCCTTTTATGCGCTACTATTGATTCGAATTTTTTCACGATAATAATTAAATTGATAATTAAATTAATCAGTCGGACAAAGATACGTTAAAATCACATCAATTTAAAAATTATTTAATATTATCATAAGAAACAACAAGAAGACAAAATCATTCTTAATCTAGATTAGTGCGTTTCGTGTAAGTATATATGTTATTGACAAATTCTCGCCCATATCTATTATCTGTTCGTATACCACGATTTACATTTTTATTTTAATAATTATTATTATTTAACCCGTAACTCTTCTGTGTGTTCGCGCGCGCGCGCGCGTGTGTGTTTATATATGTTGAAATATTTATTAAAAAAACAAAAAGAAATCTTATGTTTACTCGTGACATTATTCTATCTTCTCTTTAAAGTTTTGTTATCGGATAAATTTTGATTAACGCAGAGAATCAAAAATCGTATCTAATGATAACAAAATAGAATATATATTATACATGTTTCGTTTTATCCTTTAAGAGAGCTAATTCTTGCGTTAAAAGAATACGATCCTTTGGAAATATATTATACATAGAGGTATGAAGAATATATTTCGATGTAGGATTGAAACGAAAAGAAAAATTCTCTTTCAGAGAAATGTATACAGGTAACTCTCTTACAACACGGCATCCTATAACACAGTTTAGCTCTAACACGAAAAAAAATTGCAAAAATCTTGGTACAGCACTGGATAACACAATGGATAACAAAATATATTTAAAAACTAAATTACCTTAAAATAATGACGCGAAGGAATAATGAACTTAGGGTTTCACATAACACGATTTCACTTAGCACGCCATTTTCTAGGAACCTATCTACCGTGTTATAGGAGGGTTACCTGTACTAATTGCAAATCGTAATCTATGATTAGGTATGTTTATTTGTACCATCCCTTTCACATTTAAACATCATCCCCATTATTATTCAGTGTTAACTTTAAACAATACTAAGAAATATTATTTTTGATGTTAACATTATATCTCCTTCACAAAATTGCATCAATAATGATCAGAAAAAAAAGAGAGAGAGAGAGAAAGAAAAAGTGAAAGACAGAAATCTGAATTTCATTCTTTCGATCTTTCTATTCTTATTTCATTCTCGATAATCGTTACGAATAATCTTTATTCTCACGCTCAATTATTCTTTCTCTCTGCTTTCTTATTTTAAATATTTTTTTTTTTCTTCTTAAAACCGGCTATTCCTAAATGTATGAACTTACAGACAATAAGAAGGTGAAATTTACAATATGGATTAAATTGTTTAAAAAACGAATGTATATGGCAACAGTACACATGAGTTTATTATATATAAAATGAGACGAATGCAAGATTTACGGGACTTTATTTTTCTCATTTTTGAGCTTCTCATTCGGTTTTGCTTAGGAGCATAAATTTTAAAGAATATTTACAAAATAAAGACTACTTAAAAGTTCATCAAATTTAAAAATCATCAATTTGCGAGCAATAAATAAAATTATTGAATCCAATAACATTTCAGTTATTTAGATTTTATTTGAAATAAAAAAAAGGCTATAATATCGAGTACTTGCCAAATAATAGCTTTTTAAATCGAATCCATATTTTAAACTTTATCGAAATTCAAAAATTTCCAGGAAATTCTTAGCATTCGTCTCTTACAATTATTATAAGTGTATTCCAGACAGCACCTCTTGCAAACGCTCTTGTAAGCGACTAACAAGTTATATTAATATTTCGTGATTTTCTCGGACAATTTTATTCCATTAACATACGGCGGAGGAAATAATTCGTTCTTAATAACTAACAGTCTCAAGACCGTGATTTTAAATTGGAGGACCCGAGAGAATCATCTCTCCGTCTGACGTAACTATACGCTTATACTATTAATGCATATACTACACGTATACTTATCGAATGATTTGACAAATTGCAAAGAAATGCTACTTTCGTTACTGTATCAGAGAAAGAGAAAGAGAAAAAGAGAGAGAGAGAGAGAGAGAGGGAGAGAGAGAAGAACAAATAGATTGATTAATAAGGACGCGTTGACGTCACGTATTATTAGAAAAAGATAACAGAAAGAAGATATCTTTTATATTAGTAACGAATATAAATTTCTCATGTGTTACAGTTTATTCTATAACGTAATGAAAAAAAAAGAAATCACGCGAATCAACGATTAAAGAAAAAATTCATAAAATTTCCTTTTTAAGAACATAAATCGCTCACTTCCCAATATGATAGCAATCGCGTACATGGAAATTTTCATTTTCTTGTCCTCCTGTTATCTTTTATCAAAATCAGAGTCAAAATTCGTATTTTTTTGAACGGAATCATGTTGGAGGATCCTCTGGATTTGGCCTTTTGTCTCTCATCGCTTTGCCTTGCCGATTTAATCATCGATCGATCTGAAATGATCGAATTATAAAAATATAAAAATATTTTTGGTTAATGTGTATGTATTTATTTGCTATATCTATTATATTTATGACAACAATGATTATGTTGATGTTGACCACTCAATGAAAACTTGATGGCATCTGTATGATTGGAAGTATTAAAACGATGATAAACATCCGATATATCATGGAATGATCTAATTGCGAAATCTAATTACGTTACCACATAGTTCATTCTTCGTTAATAGAACGAAATACATATACATACGTACAATGTCTAATAACAACATACACAGTATATAATTTGTAGATGCAGTTTTTAATATAGCTAATAAATACGTAATTCCGGCAATGCAAACAAATTGATCAAACGTTTTCTTCTTACGCAATGTTTCTTTTACGTAAATTACCGGCGCGCGTATAAGGAACCAGTTAATCTTTAAAACGTGCTTAAAAAGAACTGTGCATTTTCATACGCTTAATAAAATATTATCCGCATAATCTTGAATTATATTTGTATCTCTGATAAGAAAATTCCTAATCCGTTAATATATTAAATGCAAGACGTTATTTTTTTTTTAATTGACTGAGGGAAAGAAAAGAAATAAGAAAGAAAGAAAGAAAGGAGAGATAAGAAACATTTGTTAAAAAATAATACGTTATAAAGAATCCTATGTTAGTTCACGTACGAGACAGGTGAAGGAAACGATGTCAAAAAGAGAGGGTTAACGATCATCCTGACGTTATATCCGGACGGATATTAAATTCGATTACGGGATGCATCTCTCATGAGAAAAGTTTCGCGATGCTTCGCGAAATGTCTAAGAATGGATGCTCAAGAAAGAGTAGACGGTGCTGAGGAAACGAAGAAAAGTAAGAGGAAATATATAGAGCATGCGATAGATAGAAAGAAAGAAGAGAGGAAAAGAACATCGTAGAAAAGGACATGAATGAAAGCTCTCAACTCGTTTTTCGTAAGAGTCCAAAAGAATGCTGGATGGAGAAACGAAATGGAGAGAGAAAAGAGAGGATGAAAGGGGTGAAAGGGAGGAAGAAGACTGGTGGGAAGGGTAGGGGAGGGGAGGGGGGTATATTATGTTCGCTAAAGCAATGTTACCAACTCGAGAACTGGCGAACTAGCCGACAGTAAAATCCATTTTATGTCTCCCTCGTAAAGCCAGTCAAATGAAACCCGGACTTAGTTTTCATACGTGCACCACCGACCGTCGCCGACGCCGTCGTCGTCGTTGTTGGCGACGTCGGCGACGGTAGCGTCTTCCTCAGCCTTACTTTTACTATGTCTCTTTCAAGATTCTCCTCTATAGTTATAATGTTCAGAATTAGAGAATTTATTTTTCTAAGATCTAAGATCATTTTTAAGATTGAAACGTTTTTATGCTTAGTCAATCACAAATAATGTCTATGTTTATTCATTATTTAATATCCATAAATTGTATTTAATATATATATTGTTTATCTGAGTAAGGTACTGTAGATAATGAAACTATTTATATGTATATGCATCGAACATCTTCTTCGTATATCGCGTATTTAAGAATATGTTGATAATAATTCGAGATAAAACAAACAGGTTTGTTTTTTTTTTTTCGTAAGATAAATTTATTATCCCTACATCACTCGTTAAATTCTATGAGATAGGAGAAAAGTTTGGAATTTGTGAATGCATAAAATCTAAACGGAAAAATTTCTCTTTGGCACTGTGCGAGCGATAACTTACAAACGAAGAGCAGAACGAGATAGGCCTTGAGGAGCTCGGCCAAGCGAAACCTCGTCCGGTACTAAAACGTGGGTGCATCGTAAAACATTGTAGACACGCGCGTCGTCCCCGAAAGTATCGTCGAGATAAAGGCTGAATCCGCTTTAACGAAATAAATCGACTTTGGAACGGATTTTTGCTAACGTTTAAAATTATTTTCTCTTATATATATGAGAAAGAGATAAAGAAAGAGAGAGAGAGAGAGAGAGAGAGAGAGAGAGAGAGAGAGAGAGTGAAAAAAAAATAAAGAAAATGAGATAGCGTTTGCTCGTTTACTTAAAACATTATTAAAATTGAATGCTAATTATTTTCTTTTTTTCAAGTTGATAGAACAAATCGAAAAAAAAACAAAACAAAAGTTAAATAAAATGAAAGAAAAGACTAGATCATCATTTTGTTTTCTCTCTATTATAGCCAACGATAGAAAAAGTTAAATCGAAGATACAAATTGTCACTTCCTCGAGCGCGACCCTTATCGCGATAACTTTATCGACGACCGTAAAAAGTATTCGCGCTTAGACGTGAAACGACAGGGCCGGGCTATATTCACGGTCAGGCATTAATTCTATCCCAACCTTTTAACATTCTCCTCGTTTGTTCTTTCGAATATTAATCTCTTAACAGGCAATTCGATCTCGGCTGGTGGTTGTTGTCTTGAAAGACAAAGAAGAAAACGGATGTCACACAAGTTATCCTATGGAAACGACAGACTCCGAGATTCCTCATAACATTTGGAACTTTAAATTGGCCCATTAAAATGTTACACATATTTAACCCGTCAACATTGCCGAAAGTATTATTTCCTTGACAGTAAAACTGAACGATCGACGATTACTTTGACGCAAGGGTGGTAAAGACAAGAGTGTGCTTCTCTTAGTTTCATCGTTATACTTTTCGCAATTATTACTTCAAATGAACTTCTTTAAAACGAACGATTAACGTAAATACATAGATAGATTATATGCACGGATACATATTTGCTTATCATTTGTTCTCTCTTTCGATAAGAATATTTAAATCATTGAAAATAATAAAAATAAAAAACTTTGTTCTCTTTCTAATTCTTTCGCTAGCACGAAAATACAAGTTTCTCGTGCTTACATCATTGAAGAGAATTCTTTAAGTGGACTTCGGAGTTGAATTGACCGTCGTAATTACAAACTCGTAAAAGTCCGATCAATGTCTGGCGAACATTCGATGCTCAGGAAAAGAAATAAAGGAGGGAAAATAGCGAGTGAGTTTTAGGAGAGAGAGAGAGAGAGAGGCACGCATTGGTCCACAGTTCATGATCCACTCTTTCTCAAAGCTGTCCTGTTTTCCCGATTGACCATGGGATGCCTCATAAAAGTATGATTTACAACTATCCGCCTTGCAATCTCTTTAGCTATGTGATCTTTGAAATGTGCATTCTCTTTCTTTCTCTTTTCATTTTATACTTCTAACTTGTTTTACCTGTTCACAAAATTTTATCAATATTTTCCATTTTATTTAAACGTCAAGATAGATCGTTGAATATTGTTTTATTAAACAGATTCACGGCAAACAAAAGAAAAGAATAATGATTTATTATCGAGGAAGAGAAGATCGTTAATAGAATCCTAAGGAAAAATTTTAACCGGCAAATTTTCTCATTGGCCCCTATACATACACATATTTCTTATTTACAACCATAAATAGACGTTAGAACAGAGGAGGATCTTCTTATCCTTTTTATTTTCTATAAAAAAAAAAAAAAAGAAAAAAAGATGTTTATTAAGATAAGAATTATATAAATAATAAAAGCGAAGAATCTTTTGCACAGGGAGGATTCGTTGAGACGTCGATGGTGTTACACTAAAGAACATGCGTCTCTAGGTGTGTCTTCAAAAATACTGAAGCTTTACGATGTTTGGGTTTCATTTTCATGCGTGGGCAACATTTTCGCCACCCGTCACTACTGTCTCCTTTCTTATATACAAGTATATTTATATTATCCGTGTTGTCGTTGATATTCTGTTTTTCTGTCTTCTCGGTTTTCTTCTTTGCAGGACCACGCGCTCATGCAACATGTACATAAAAGCATACAGAATGAAGATATCAATTTTCAACGTATAGTTTATATTCATATATATTAATAATAATTACTTTTTTAATTGGTTTATTAATATATTATCATTTTCTATTTATTATATTATATTATCGTTAAGATCAATCTTAGTTTATCGTGACAAAAGTGAAGTTTCTATGAAAACGAGAAAAAAGAAAAAAAGGGAAAAGTAACATTTCAAATAGCTAGTTCAAAAGTATCGTACAGTAGATGTTGCTTTCCACTTTTCCAGTGAATCTCTTCTTTCGGATGATCTAGGCGGCTTCTGAAACGCGTTCCGACTTCTCGAACGATCGTAAAGGAACTTAAGGAGAAAGGAAGAAAGAACAAGAAAGAAAAGAGAGAGAGAGAGAGAGAGAGAGAGAGAGAGAGAGAGAGAGAGAGAGAGTATATACAAGCTCGTATCTAAAATGGAAACGGGCAGAACGTTTCCGGACGAGGTGAAGACGAAAGTGGAGGAGTTTTATCGTTTCTCGGTAAAGTGCTTCGCGGCTTCTAACACCTCTTCAGCACCTTTCCACCTCTCGCCCGAGGCTGAAGGGATGACTCGTAAAATCAACGTGGATACTTCGAGTAATGCCTTTCTATTCGAGAAAGAGTCAGTTAAATTTCCGATTGAGGGCGAGAGACTTATCTAAAGACAATAACCAAATATTTTCAAGAAAAGAGAGATATAAACGAGTTGAATTGAATAGATACAAATTTCTAGATAATGTTACAATTACTTTGTTTATATTATTTTTCTTCAAAAATTGTACGTATTTTTGAAAGATTATTATCTTTATAGAGATTAAAATGTCTATCAAGAAGGTCTTTATCATTTTTCTCTTTCATTAATATGTGAATTATGATGGAATGTGAACTGGTATATGAAATAACTGATACAGCAATATTCCGAAGCATTTGTTTATCGTTTACTTCACGAAAATTAGTAGGAGTTTGAAATTCCTTTTTATTAACGAGACTCACGTATCCTGAGTAAAGAGAGATCCCCCGGTGGCTTCGTCGCTCGCCTGAGGTAGGTAGGTACGTCGTATTTCATAGAAGCCAGGCTGTATTTTCGCGCGTATGACTTTAACTGTCGATGCGGACTTCGCTTGTATTTCTTCTCAAGTTTTACTGGTGCTAGGTCGACCGCACCGAGCC